CTCATCTCCCCTTTCTCCTCGTTTTCCTTTGCGAATGCCTTCTGACCAATAACACCCGCAGTCCCTCTTCTTCCTCTTTGACCCGCCCAACACTGGACAAGAGAGAAGAAGCAAGAGCAATCCAATTAATCATTACAACCTTCTTTTCTCTTCTATTCTCTTCTTATCCTATCCATGGAATCCTCATCTTCTTCAGCTTCCAGCGATGGCCTTAACCTCAAAGAAGGGCCAATCGTTGACCCTTTCTTGGTCGAGGCTCTCCAGAATCCTCGCCACCGTCTCACCAGTGAGTTTTTTTGGTTTGTTTAATTTTCTCTAATTTTTTATAATCTCTTGTTCTAAACCCTAGTTTAGTGTTGGATTTGATTTTACGTTTGTGCGTTCCTTTGTTTTTTTTCTTTTTTTTTTTTTCCCTGTTTCCGATTTCGGAGTTTTTGGGTCTAAGGGCTTTTTTCTAATTAATTGTATGTGGTTTTGGTTGAATTTGTTGGATTTGAAACGGGGGTTTATTGTTATCTTAGATCTGGGTTTCTTATTGGTACCAGCATGATATGATGTTGAATGTTTTCTGTTCATGCTGAATTCTTTATTTGTGTAATTTCGAACAGATCTGTTATCGATTCCTTTTTATCCTCCAAAACATATTCATGAATAAATATGAATTTGGCCAATTATCTCTTAATTGTTTCTTTTCTTGTCAAACCTTGATATAATTAAATCAAATCCCAGAGTAAGCAACATTTAATCTTTATGATTAACCTAGTCGTCGATTGTCCCACTACGCGTGCTCTTTTAATCTTTACTTTTCTAATTAGCCGGATGTCTTTTCTTTTCAGTTTTGCGAATGGAACTTGATATCCAGAGGTTTCTGAAAAGTCCTGATCAGCAGCTGTTTGAGTTCCAACATTTCCCTACATCCTACCTTCGACTTGCTGCACATCGTGTTTCTCAACACTATGGCTTGCAGACTATGGTTCAGGATTGGGGCCCAGATGGTCAAGGGAATAGGATTTTGGTGAGGAAAACAGCAGAAAGCAAATACCCAGCAATTCAGTTATCTGAAATACCGGCTAAGCAGTCCGAAAGCAATAGACATGAGCAGATTAAAATTGTCATCAAGCCCAGGTCTGATAAAAATAATATGAACGGAGCTAATGGAGCTGGGATCAAACGAAGTCCTGTGAGAAGTGTGGAAGAGAGGAAGGAGGAGTACGATCGGGCACGGGCTCGCATCTTTAGCAGCACTAGCAGTTCTGATTCTGATGATACGCCTTTTCAGTCTCTTACAGATGCGAAAAATGCATCTTTTAGCAGGGATGAGAATGAAGGTTTTAGGAACTCTCTGGTTGATACAGAAAAGAATTTAAATGTGAAGGATCTTGGTTCTTCATCTCGAGTTGCCATTTTTAGAGATAGGGAAAAAGATCGTACTGACCCGGATTATGATCGAAGTTATGAGAGGTAGGCGTCTTTCTATTATATCAAAGTTGATGTGAGAACTTTGCAGATGGTTTCTCTCAACCTAATAAGGACACTACAGTCTTTGCACTGCTATATCACTTGTCCTTTCTTTTACCTTTCTATTTCTTGAAATGCTTGTAAACTTTGATCTGGTCACCACCGGCAATCACGTTTTCATATCTTGTCATTATGGAACTCTTTGTTTTATGACATACAAACATAATAGATTTTACATTCTTAGCAAAGTAATATATACGATTTTGTTTTGGAAATAAATAAATTATTAACTGAAAATGTTTAATTACACTACTGATACAGGTACGTCAGGAGTCTTCCTACCAATCAAGGATTTAACTTGGCACCTTTCAATATGCAAAAGGTTCAACCTCAGTTTTTGCAGTACGATGCTGTTTTCTCTCAGAGGCCAAGACATCAAGCTTCAATTGGTTACGGGCCTCATTCGACCCCATCTATGAGCCCTTTTTGTGCTGTGGGATTCAATCAGACATCTAGCGATGCTACGTACATGCAGTGGCCAAGTGCTTCAATGATGTATGCGCATTCATATGATCAGTTTAGGCAAGCTGTTATTCAGGTAACCAAACTTAATACAGAAAATGGTTTGTTTGAATAAATTACAGATAGCTTTAATGTTAAGTTTTTGAAGTTTTGTTGTACGTTAAACTTGCATGTTTCCAAATAGCTCCTCTTTTCGTGGGTTTTTAATTATTTCAATTTTTTTTCTCAATCTTTCAGTTTACTTGATACTAGAACATGATATCCTTTAAGTGGTGTTACGTCTCTTTCAAATGTATTGTTAATTAGTGCACAAAACTGAAGTGTTTTGAAGTTTCAAGAATCGGTAGGAATTTTGAGGGTGCACCACAGGAAAATCTGTGACAGAAATGCACGCCGTATTTGTGTGTTTGGTGGAAGTGTAAAGTGGCTTACACCTTTTTCCGTGGCCTGTACACATATAGTGCAGAAAGGCACACCCTCTTGCCTTTGTCCCTGGTGTACATTTCATGGGTGTTGTATCATTGACTATTAATCTTTAAGCTAAAACGGCTGCGTCTTGGTTTACTCTTAAAGAAAAATTGAGACATTACCCCAATTCTTTAGCCATTTTCCCTTCTCGATGTCTATTGCACTGTTGGCAGCTTCCTAATGTCATAGTGCAGCTGGGGCTTCATCATACCTTTTGAAAGCCTTTTTTACACTTTCGTTTTGATTGTTGTTAGTTGCCAGAAGCAAAGGTGATTCATCCCTTTGTAGTTTTTAATTTTCATTTTTTGGCCTTGGAGAAATACATGGGATATATAGATATAGGGAAGTGAAGGAAGCATAGTGGGAGAGATGTAGAAGAAATGTATAAGGAAACGCACACTAAAAAAAAAAAAATTTAAGTAGTTTTCTCATCCAAGATTTTGTTTCGTTCATTCATTCTTTATTTCTTTCCCCCTCTCCTGTCACCCTTTGTCATCCTGCATTTCTCCCATATGCATTCTTCATATCTCCAGCACAAAAAAAAGTGATTAATCAGGCCCTTAATTTGGGCTATAAGGCATTTAACGGAATACTACCTGTGTTTGTTTGTTTGCTGTGCATATCCTTTTTCTGCGATTGAATGTGCGTATGGTCTCTTTGCAGGCTCCATTCTGTCATCATCCCCTGAGCTTTCATCCACAAAACCATTAATCTACGTTTAGGCGGGGACTTTACAACGGAGGTGCAAGCAGACTTCTTTATTCTTCCAGGATTAAAACAGAGTTAGGTCATTGTACTAAGACTTGGTGCCACACAAGCTTGTTCCCTCCCGTTGTAGTTTGTGGTGGTGTCTACTATTTTTGATCTTTTATATTAGCCGAGGACTCTATTGTAATGTAATGACTCTTTATTTGACAATTGCCGAGCAACATTATGATTTTCATTTGGTGAGCCCTCCTCCTTGTGATGACTCTAAATTATGTGTTCTCATTTTATTTGCATTGAGTTGTTCAATTTTTTTACGAGCTCGAGTTGGTTCTTGTGATGCTTCTCATACAAGTTGAGCTCGAGATTCAGGACATGCCGATTCTAAGCGTTTTCAGCGTGTTTGGTTCTTCAATTAAATTTGCAATTTGATGCTGTTTTAGATGTAAACTAGCTATTAGTATTCGCGTGATGCTGCCGGTTTATAAACAGGATCAAAGACTCCGTATGCAGAGCAGCAATTCGGAGAACAGTGATAAACATCACAGTTATTCATTGGACTGCGGCAGTTTCATCCTTCTTTGGATCAGAAGGATCACATCCAGATACAAAAATTCAGCAGATGCTGTCATATGGAGATACCAAAAATATTACAGTAATGCATTCTGCTTTAATAGTCCTATGCGCTCTGAAAGCTAAACCAGCATTTGCATACAAAAAATTAGGAAATGCTGGTCTATGGAGGTGCAAAAAATGTTGTCTAATTCTGAGCAGAAAAATATATTTGCAGGCCGTAAATCATATTAACGAGTGTTTTACAGATGCTTTGCACAAAAACATATCATCCTGCAAAACATCTCATATGTACCACCAATTATAACATGTGTCAAAACGTTTCACAGATGCTTTGCACAAAAACATATCATCCTACAAAATGTTTCATCACACATTTATATGATAAGGAGCAACAACATAAATTATTCGACATCATGGATGTTTAAAAAGTGAGACAAAAATTGTAATGAATAGATTTAAAAGCCTGGTCAAATAATTTCAACATGTATGTTTAAAAACGGAACACAAATTGTAACGAACGGAGTTAAACACTTGCAATTAACGAATGAGAAACAAAACAAATACCGTGCCATAAAGGACAGGAACCTAATACAGTAAAATCACATAATGATAAAACAGTGGAATATTTTATACCAAGTAATGTAAAAAGATAACAAAACAAAGAGAAAAAATGGGTTTCAGTTAAATGAGCTACCTCGGTAACTTGACTTTTAAACTTGTAAACACAACAACAATCGGCAAAGACAACGTCTCCACCGATAAAGAACAAAAAGTTTATGCAACATCTGCCCATAACGTAACACGCAACTCTTCTTTTCTATGCACAAAACAAATGAGAAACAAAGGCTGAAATTTTTTGCCACCCTAACAAAAGAAAGGCTGTGAACAATTTAGAACTGCATTGATGAAAACAAAGGAACAACCTGATATTCTCAATGTGTAGGTCACACTTGTGTGCTATTCTTTGATTAATCTATTTTGGTTCCAAGTGCTGGACCGCAGTTATATGGCCAATCACATTTCACAATTTAAAACATTAACACACAAAAGCTTGTCAACATTCATTTCACAAAAAAAGAACATAAATATTTTTAATTCATGCACATATGCGCGCGCGCGCGCACACACACATATATGCAGAGACAGATATACACGTATTAACATTACTTGTAAGAATTTCAACTCTCTTGAGACGGGGATAGAGCGTGTTAAAATCATAGAGAAAGAACTAGGTGTCGAGGGATGGATGGAAACACACTAGAGAGTTTTTCGAACATTGTTTTAGCAATGAATATAACCTGGTTATCGTGCGGCACACTTTATACTACCCTCTGATTCTAATAGTGCGAAAATTCATGATCTCGTCACAACCATCAGCCTCAATCTTTGAAGCCACAACTTCATAATCAATGTCCAACGTAGAGGCTTCAACTGCATTGTTCTTCACAATCGACCACGCCTGAAAAAAAAAAAAAAAAAAAAAAAGAAGGGAAAAAGAGAAAAAGAGAGTTAAAATGGTAATCAACAAACAGACGATAAGAAATATTATATTTTGATATAGGCAGATTCAATTGCCACAACAGGCAAATACACTGACTGAAAAAATAGCTAGACTATGTGAACCAAGATTTATAAAACACTTGACACAACTATTACTGTTATAATCCCTAATTAAAATGATAAAACAATGACCACTCACCGTTTCATCAACCAAGATATAGTGTAGTGTCGCGTATTTCTGAACAGTTCCGAGAATGCTAGATTTCCATACCCTACACACATGCATCTTTATTTTGTCCGCTTTTAGTGTACAGATGCAATTGCGCAATAGAGGTCACCTCTACGCCTTCCATTTAACCTGCCCAAAGCGAATACAAATTTTATAAACTCATGAATCACCGTAATACAAATTCGAAAACAAATATGAAAGTAAGGAGTGATTTGTTCCATTCCTAATTCAGCAAATGTTAAATAATTTCCAACATCACTGTTACAAAATTGACAACCACAGTATACACTGCCAACTCCCAAAACACAAAGGACTCCAAAAAGAAATAACTCAGCTAAAAGCAATTAAAAAACTAAATTTCACAAAAAAAATGCACTCGACATTACGACAGCAACAGGAGCCAACACATGTTAACAGATGAGAGATACAACGACTATTATCAAACTGTCAGCATTTTACGAAAGCAACAAGGCAGTCGTTGCAAAACCCAAACTTAAAAAGACGCTAGATATTACAAAGACTAAAACATTACTTACAAAAAGCAGGGTCAAGGAGATAAATCAACAACTTTCCCACACTGCAAATGCAAGGCTCCAAGGCAAATGAGTGACCTTTCAGCTACAGTACAAACTAAGGAGAGACTTTTTAGATACAATACAAACCCTGAAGACTCGAATTTTCTGCATTGTTCATCGCTCTCGAGAAGAGCCACAAAAGACGTACCAAAGTGCCAACTCCTTCACCGCCAAAATCAAACCTCACACTTCGTTGTTTTCATACACCTTTGGAGATCAAATTAAAAGATCAATTTTGTAAATAATTTACTCAAAAGATTGTAATCCTAAACATTCATTTAATAAAAATTTATTATTTTGTAGACGTATTATTGTTTCAACCAAATTTAAATAATAGAATATATAAAACATAAACAATAGAACGCAATTCTTGAAGACGGTCAAACATAAACATAAACGTCTCTTCTGTCTTTCTTTGACGTTGGAACCCAATGTCTCAATTTTTTTTTCTATTGGTTTAAACAAAAGATATTATCTATACCAGAGAAGTGGAGGAATGGATTAAGCCTCACAATGAGCTAGCAATAATATGGTTCAAATTTATCTTTGACGAGAATCGAATTTAAAACCTCTCATATACAAGTAAAGAGAAATATCACTACACCGTAGTACTAAGTGGTCCTCAATTCTTTCTTTTAGTTTTATTGTTTCTTACTTTCTTCATAAAAAGGAATAAACCATGGCCGAACAACATTCGCGACCAGATCCTAATTTCTTGTCCACACTCAATATGTTTCACTTTTCTCCAACCCCAACATTACATAGTTCATCCAATCAGTTAATTTAGACATCAAATGTTAGATCCCACATCGTCCAGGGGAGAGGATCCTCTATGCCTTATATGTACATGCCCACCTTCATATAGCATGAGACCTTTTGGGAGCTCACTGGTTTCGGATTTCATCAGAACTCTAAAGTTAAGCGAGTTTGGGCGAGAACATTCCCAGGATGGGTGACACACTGGGAAGTCTCGTGAGAGTTTCCAAAAAAAAAAAACCGTGAGGGCGTGGCCGGGGCCCAAAGAGAACAATATCGTGTTATGGCGGAGCCGAGACTGGGATGTGACAATTTGGTATCAGAGCAAATCCCTGGCTGAGTGTGCCAACGAGGACGTCGGGCCCCTAAAAGGGGGTGGATTGTGAGATCCCACATCGCCCAGGGGTGTGGATCTTGTAAGCCTTATATGTATATTCTCATCTCCACCTAACACGAGGCTTTTGGGAGCTCATCAGCTTCGGGTTCCATAGGAATTTCGAAGTTAAGCGAGTTCGCGCGAGAGCAATTTCAGGATGGGTGACCCCCTGGGAAGTTGCTCGTGAGTTCCCAGAAACAAAATCATAAGGGCATGGTCAGGGCCCAAAGCGGACAATATCATACTACGATAGAGTTGAGCCCGAGATATGGTGTGGGCCCGGGCGGGGATGTGACACAACACAAAGTAAAAACTTATGAATATGAGTTTGTATTACAAATTTAATGCAGGGAGCACTGTTTTAAAAATCCCTACCTAGCTCCGCCTAGGCGCTAGACGGCTAGCGATTGTCCTGATTAATGTCTAGGCATCTGAAAATTAAGAAATGGTGCCTAGACCTGCTGAGGTGCCCACCTAGACCACTTAGGCACCAACCTAGCCCGCCCAGACCCGCCTAGGTTGCGACTCACTTAGGCAGAAAATAGATAACTTTCATTTTGCATGTATTTTTTTCAATAAATTGTAAGAGACTTGTTGAATACTTAAATGAGCACACATTATATGCTTGTTCTGACACACCCCGACCAAGATCAGGGCATGCTGGCCGTCACGTGGAAGTGACGTAACCAAGTGCACAGTGCGGAAGCTAAATAAATAACAATAATAAATGTACGAATAAATAAAAACCAGCTTTACACAAAATAACAACAAACATGTGCAAGCCTGAGTGTAAAAATAAAGTTCAGAGCACGAAGACCTAATGCAGTCCAGGAGAAACAACACTACAAAAGCACACCCGAAGGTTGTCGTACACTGGTAATAATCTGTCAGATATGCCGGGGAAATCCTCAGGGGAGCCACCAAACGTGCTAGCCAACTAGAACCTATAGGGGCGCAAAACAAAAGCGTGAGTGGGCAAAAACAAAGCTTTTCAAAAACCATTTCATAAATAAGTTCTAACCCCTTGCCGTAAAACGTGTATGCCTCCCACAAAATAGAATATACATATATACATATATATATATATATATCATGCACGGAAAAATATGCCATGCCAAATGCCTCAAATATATGCAAGTGCTCAGGTAATGTCACAATCAATGTTACGAAAGCTATCAGCCGGAGTCACCTAACGTGACCTGTACGGCTGAATCTAGAGCTTAAATCTCCATCTCACTAACTGTACCTGTACACGAGTCAGAACCACCTAAAGTGGTCTGTACGACAGGACTGGGTGTAATATATATATACGCTCAAGTGTTACGATCACGTGAAGGCTGGGCGACTAATCGCAGGTCACCTACGAGTCGAAACCACCTAAAGTGGTCTGTACGACAGGACCGTGCACCTAACTTGGATCCAAGATGAGCGTGTGGTGCTGGAGGTGAACATCACGTGAAGGACTGTGCCCAACTTTGGGCGGGAGCACTAACACCGGGCGTGCAAGTTATGAGCTCTCGATAGATCACTAATTACTACTGAACGTAACAAAAACATAAATCATACTTACCCGGCACTTACCTGTGCGTCCACGGCACCAATACACGTATATATATATGACTAAAAATGCGTAAAGAAATGGCAAACAATAAACATGGCATATAACGAATAAACGTTTCAAATTAATTTCTGGGAAAAACATGAGTATATAGGTATATACGGAAAATCAAAAGCCCACTCACTGGTATGTAGAAGGGTCGTAACCGCCTTGCCTCGAGTGACCGAACTCGTCCTCGGGATAGGTCTCACCTATATGCGAAACAACTACAAAAACATTAATTTTAAAGCACATAACCAACCTTATGAAATAACTTCTCATACAATGCTCAAATGGGGTGTATGAATACACCAACGTGATCTACTCAACCTCAGGAACATCCCCATATTTTTTAGAAAAATTTCCACCATCGCACGCGCCGGCCAAGGCACGGCCACACTCGCCGGCCACGCGCAGGCACGTGTCTGGCACGCTGACGACGTCAGTTAACGCCGTCAGGAATATTCCATCAACTTTAACGGATTCCGTCAACGCCGTTAGGAATATTCCGTCCAAACTGACGGAATATTCCGTCGTCTTCTCCGGTGCCGTTGCCGGCGCTGGAAAATCGGGAAATTTCAAATCTTCAAATCTTATTCGTTTTTCAACCAAATTTCACAAAATTGGTACCAAAATGAAGCTTGCAACAAGAGGAACAAATCCATACCACTTTCAAGCACTAAAATCCACGGAATCTCACCGGGAAAACTCCACCAACTCCGGCCAACCTTGAAACTCACGATCCCGACTTCCAAAACCTTCAAACGAACCACCCCAAGCCTCCTAAGGACCTTACCAAGCTTCCTACAAGCTTGAAATTCCCAAAAACACAAGAATTAATGTGTGCATGAACAGTGACAAAATCGGGGTATCCCGAGTTCGACGTGAAAACAAAGGTATCTTTACCTGAAATGGGTATGGTTTGACTCCCACAGAACTCACGAGCATGGATATGTACTTTGTTTCCTCGATTTGTGAAGGTTTGGAGGGTTTCTTGGTGTGTCTGTACAAATGAAATAGGAAATGGGGAGAAAAAGGGCTCGGGACAGGTGCAGGGCAGGGAAAAAGGGTGAGGGAAATATGGGAGAGTGTGTGTGGTCCACAACTTGCCAACAACAAACCAAAAACAACCACACCACCAAAAATCAAACTAGGGGCAAAAATCGTCTTTTCACCCTTACGATTCGAAAATTCCGGAACAGGCTATCACATGTTCCCCATGTTTTCATTATGTTCCAATACTTCATAATATATGTGTCATTGTATTTTGTAGTTTATGATGAAATTATATATATTTTAAGTATAAATAGACACTTATTTACATGAAATATAATGGATTTAGTTAAATCCGCCTAGTCCGCTTACGCGCCCGCCTAGACCCCACCTAGCCACCTAGGCACTAGACCCCAGCTCGCTGCCTGACTAGCGCCTAGCGTCTTTTAGAACCTTGGCAGGGAGCAACGTGGCGGGAAATAAAATGTTGGAATTAATATAAATTAAACAAAAGTAAGACACTTAAAATAAGTTTACAACTCAAATTTCAATATTACAATTCAAACAACTTCTACATCTCTTTTTTGTGTTATAAATACATATATTATATCTCAAAAAATGCATGCATTTCACGCTCTGATACCAACTAATTCAGGGAGCAACGTGGTGGGAAATAAAATTCTAGAACTAATATGAATCGGAATGAATAGATATGAGAGATAGATATGATCCACTATCTTCAAGTGTGAGGGGAGACCTCAAAACCACAAATCATGTCTCTAGTACTAGCCTACAGCGTAGACAACTATAAATAAAGTAACAACTCTTAAACAAGAGCAAGGAACTTGTAATGAGCTTACAACTCAAGCTTCAATATTATAATTCAAACAACTTATATCTCTTTTCTGCCTTAAAAATACATGTATTTTTAGGCTTACAACTTAAAGTGAGAAACATGAAAAGACAAATGAAATAGAAGGAAATTTAGA